AAAAAAAAAAAAAAAAAGTGAAACAGAATCGCCTTTTATAATAAAGCGTTCGCTTTTTCTCGCTTTTTTCTCGCTTCGCTCACGTTCGCTTCGCCTGGGGTCCTCCAGGCGAGATAAGCTCGCCTCGCCTCGCTTCTCGCCTAGGCGAGCTTTTCAAAACACTGGAATTTACCATCAATTCAAAAATTAAGAATAATTAGGTCAATATTATAGGAGATTTGGACAAACTTTCAAAATATTAGCTATATGAGCAATGAAAAATTGGATTCAAAAGAGGTTGTAATAAAACAAAAAAACATTAACATAGAAAATTTTAACTTAAACATAGGAATTAATAAACTAAAACATAAGAATTAATAGACTAACCTCAATTATGCCGAATACTCGACCTACCACCAATTTAATAAGCTAAAACATAAGAATTAATAAACTAACCTCAATTATTATGCCGAATACTTGACTTGCCACACCAATCTCTTAAAAAGATGTTTGACATTAAATTAAGAAAAATTAAGTGCCACAGAACATAAGAATTAACGTAAACATAAGAATTAATAAACTAAAATGAAGGAATTGATAAACTAACCTTAATTATGCCGAAAACTCCTACTTCGACTTCATTGAGTTTGTCACAGAAGAGCATGAGACCATAGGACTTCAAATAAATGACTATGGCTGGCCAACTTCTAATTCTAAAGTGAATGGAAGAAAAAACTTGTTCGATAACTTTGCTGAAAGTTTGATCCCATTTGGTATTAGAATCCAATCTAGTTATATATATATATATATATGAAGGAATTCAAAATATTTTAGAAGTCTAATAAGTAGGAAGGACAAAAAAATATATGTATATGTATCACCTAAAAATTACCAATATGTGGTATTAGAATTCTAGTAGAGTTTGTACAATTAAATGGAAAAGAAAGAATGTATTGTCATAGACATAGGCTTAAATGCTTGTCATTGAAGCGGGATCAAGCAGCTAATAGCTAAAACGAATTTGGCTTATAGAATAAAACATCAAGGCCTTTAACAGGAAAACTGAAATATAGGGGGGGGGTGCGTGTGTGTGTCTATCCAAATGTCATCAGGGGCAAGAATAAAGGTGAAAAAGGATACTTAAACAGTCATGCCAGACCACCCAAAGCAAAAAGTATACACATGTCAAGGAAATAAAAGGGACGGGACAAAAGAAATATTACTTGCACCAATTCATCAGTATCCATAGCACAGGTAGGAAGATGCTCAGCAGGGAGAACACGAATGCCTGCACCCGTCTCTCTTCGCAATCTTTGAATGACATCTCCGTTTTTGCCTAAAAGACAACCGACCATATTGTTTGGAACAAGAAGACGTGCAGTAACCACAACTTCATTATCATCCCCACTGTTCATTCCACCAACAAGATCTTCCTCAACAATCCTATCATGCACTTTCAAGAGAGCATCTTGGGCTGAGCAATGTGGCTCCATGAACTCATCTTCTTTGTCAGTGGCAGGATCATCACTATTGGTAGTATCATGCTTTCTTGGGATTTTGTAGGTGGACTAGAGATTATTATTACTCTCTCCTCTGAGCCAGGAACAGAGTCAGCAACTGTAATCTTTGCTTGGGTCTCTTCTCTCAGGGCTTTAACTATGTTACCTCCTTTACCAATAACACTACCAGTTTTTCTAGACTGACATAGTATCCGATACACAGTGTCTGAAGCGTGAGAATTTCCAAGAGATTGCTCACGGCTATCGTTATGCCAATTTCCCTTTCTGCTGCCCCCCTTTTTCTTAAATTGGGGGCTATCATGTTTCTTAAAGAAGGGTCTCCTTTTCCCTTCCATAATTCAGCAAAAATTCATAATAAGCATCGTTAATAGAGTAAGGTCGAACCCTGAGATGAAAAAAGACTATTGGTATCAGAACACTAAACAGTATAACACACACAAGTCATTAATTCACATCTTATATCATATAAACCAAGATCAAGTTGGTGTCTAACTAAAGAGATAAATGAATTAACCCATTCAATGTACCAAGAACATAGATTAATACGGTACGTGGAACAGAAATGGGAATGAAGTAAAGTTTCTAAAATGCCAAAGAGTATGGTAAACTTCTATTGGGCATGTATTTTGAACTTCTAGCTTGATTCTTTGCTTATTCCATTGGAAATCCACTTTTGCAGCTCAGTTTTGGGAAAAGTGGAATGTCAACCCCCTTCCCCATTTCCATTTGTTTTATGATGTCTAAGCTTCCTTCTTTTTTTTCTTCCTCGCTTACGTTTTACTGGAAGAGGATGCATAGCAACTTAAACCAAACAAATACATTATGAAGGAAATATAATGCACTTAAAGTGCACAATGTTCTCTACTTAGAAACCTCGTTATTTTGCTATTATTCATGTAAAAATATACTACTATAAATTACAAGTAACCTTCCACTGTGTTTGTTTCATGGATTTAACGAATAAAAGGAGATGAAGAAGGAAAAGGCAAACTCTATTGCACTATGTGCCACAAAGTGCCTATCAATTAAGAAATATAGGCATATCCACACATGCACACCTTGCAAGAAGTCACTTTTCACTTCACTCATAATTGTCATTTCAGTGGGACCCAATTTTCTTAGGTGAATCAACCTAAATGTAATCCCGATGATTTGAACCAAGTGGAACAAAGATTGTACGCAGTGATGACAATCCTAGTCCTATATGTATTCAGATCTTGGTCATAATGTCCTAGGTATTAATCTGCTAAGTTATTTTATGATCATAATCTGCAAATCAATTTAATTCAACATAATAAAAAGGGTAAAAGCCATTTCAATGCATAATTGGTATGTCATCACCATACCTTCTCAAAATATGGGCTCTAGGTTTCCATACTCCCAAAGGCCCAAGCTAAAGCGACTTTTTAGTTCTGCTATCCATTCAAACATTTGGAAATCACTTCACGATATACTTTACAAATTCTTGACTTGAAGCTCAGGCGCAAAATTTCTAGCATAAAACAGACCAATCAATGAATTTTAGTATAACAAACCACCACGCAATCATATTGTACGGGTCATAGTAATATTCCTATAATAAAATGCATCCTAAACAACTGAAACCCCAAAATGACTTCAGTGAATAGCAGTGTGCTATGAATATAAACGAAAAGTTAGAACTTTTGTAAAAATATTACTAATGAACTCATTTAAAGTTATTATTTCCGAACTTTGTGTGTAAAACGACAGGATGCAAACGAAATGCAATGTTCTAAGAATTGAAAGTGCAATTTAAATACAGAAATTACACTGTTACACCGAACAGAACAAAACAAATTCACGATTGAGCTCGTTTTCTCCACTTTAACTTTCAAAATTAACCAAATTTTCATTGAAATTAAAAGAAAAAAGCTTCAGAAAATCTGTTAATGTGATTTAGTTAAAAATTAGGCTAAAATTTTCCAGGAGGTTTTCAAAGAAAATGAGGGTGGGAAAGTAGATGCGTACCGAGGAGAGACTGGTAAATAGATTTTTGTTGAGCGGCAAGAGGGATAGAGTCGTTGAGAGATTGTTAGAACCATACTGATTGCAGGTTGATGGAGCTCTCCATCTGGAAGGAGAGTGAAGACTGGCAGACTTGGGGATCGTTTCGTCTTTGATTTTTGAATGGGAATTGAAATCGCCCATTACGAATAAATGGGCCGGTTCACAAAACATAGGCTAATACAAAGGACGGGAAAATTGTAAGGGTACATCAAATTATATTTATTTGATAAAAAATTTATATTAATAAATATAGAGTTATTAAATATTTAATTTTGATATTTATTTGTATTCAAGTACATAATTTGAATGTATCTATTTTTATTGTGATATTTTTGTCCTCCATTGGTGAATGTGTTTTTTTATTGAAATGACATTAGTTTTCAAATTATATTTGTGTATTAAATAAGTCCTAGTTTTATGGGAGAGAAATACAACACTTTCCAATAAAATTTCAAATTTTAAATACACTTAAATTTATCCTTTTTTTAAGAGGGAAATATACACTTGTTTTTTTCTTGGAAAAGCTGAGTATATTTCTGGGTTTATTATTGCAAAAGTTGGGTATATTCCTTCATCGCCTGCAAGACGATTTTGCTTCTTCTTCAAGCCTTGAGGCGAGTTATGTTTCTTCTCCATCCAGCTACAAGCCGATATTGTTCTTCATCGACATAACACTGGTATTTTTAAGGGTGAAGCCTTGAAACAAATACTGGTATATTTGTGCATGAAACAAAATTTCTTCAAGACTAAAGTCAATTGTCTTTGTCACCTACGAGGCGATTTTAACATTTTACACTTTTAATTTTTATCTTCTTCTACTTCCATCTGCCAGCCAATATTATTCTTCAAACATATGTGTTTGAGATTTTGTTACAGCCGAAGACTGAAGCATTTAGCCTAACAATATCATAACAGAAATTATAAGGTATGCTACATTTAATCTATTAGCATACTAAATGAATATGTATAAATGTTGTCAGTTTTTATTTGTTTGGATATATGTTTTTTATTGTACCTATTCTTTTAATAGTTTGTTGGCAACGGAGGAAACGGTGTTGCTTTTATGTATATATGGTAATGCTACTAAAGTATTCAAAGTAGATGGTAATTCAAATTTTTTGGAGCTTATTCAGGAAGTTTGCAAGACGTGGAAGGAGTTGTTTAACTTGTCCGTACATATGTCATATTCTATTCCTGGTCACCCCTCGTGCATGTTACGAACCGATGCTGATTTGAAGAATTTGGTTGAATTGAAATGTTGTTTCCCAGGGAATTACATTGAAGTTAATGTGTTTGTGGAAGATACCGAGGGTGAGTCGGTGGGTGGTGATGATTCATTGCAGTATGTGAATATTTGTGATGTTGTTGAATGTGAAGTGGATTTGTTACCCAGTTTTATTGGTCACAATGAGAAAGTTCTTCGAACAGCTGGGTGGAATAATAAAATACGGCACGTAGGATAGAAATTTGAAGGTGGTGTGGTACAGTTTGGGGAAGCANAATAATGAAATACGGCACGTAGGATAGAAATTTGAAGGTGGTGTGGTACAGTTTGGGGAAGCANCTCAGTTTTATTGGTCACAATGAGAAAGTTCTTCGAACAGCTGGGTGGAATAATAAAATACGGCACGTAGGATAGAAATTTGAAGGTGGTGTGGTACAGTTTGGGGAAGCACTTTGCAAATACTCGATTGAGTCTGGTTTTAAATTTAATTATGTAAGGAATTGTAAAGAAAGGGTTATTGTTGAATGTTCATTTAAGTATTCTTCTGGGTGTGGGTGGCATATATATTCAACTATGGAGAGATCTACTGATTTTTTTTATATTAGAAAATTGGACAACAAACACATTTGTGATGTGGATCTACAAACGACAGATAACAAGCGAATGAATTCTAAATTGGTTGCAAATCTTATTGTTGATCGTGTTCGTGGGCATAGCACAACACGTCCAACGGAAGTGGTTGCTGATTTTTTTTTCTGATTATGGACTCACCATTTCTTATGGTAAAGCATGGGAAGGAGTTGAGAAAGCAAAAGGTATGCTTTATGGGGACCATTCATGATCGTACCAACAATTACGTTGGTATGTCGATGCAGCAAATCGCACTAATCCGGGCTGCCATATTGTATTAGATTGTGATCATGATACTAATCGTTTCAAAAGGCTGTTTGTTTCCTTTAAGGGTTGTATTCATGGGTTTAATTATTGTCGTCCACTACTTTTTTTGGATGACACATTTTTGAAAGGCATGTATAGAGGTAATCTTTTATCGGCTACAAGAAAAGAAGGCAACCAAGGTATATTTTAATAAGGTTCTTTAAATGATAAATTTTGTGGTTAAATTGTAATCTTTATGTTATACTGTCTTTGTTACACTTTGTTTGTTGTATTGTTACACTTTCGTTGTTACACTTTGTTTGTGTTATTATTACATTATTGGTGTTTACACAATGATATAAATAGTGGATTATTACCATTCACCACCCAAAAATGTTTTCGAATTACCATCTCATCTGTTACACTATTTTTTATTTTAATTTTCACTAATATTGTATGTGCTGCATTTTTCCAGGTTTGTTTCCTTTGACATTTGTTGTGGTTGACTCAGAGAATGAGACAAACTGGTTTTGATTTTTAGAACAGTTGTCTAATATATTGGATAAGTCTCGGGTTATTACATTTGTATCTGATCGTAACTTGGGTTTGTTAGAGGCAATGCTGAAAATTTTTCCAAATGCTCATCATGCATTTTGTTTGCAGCATTTGAAAGGTAACTTACGGGATAAATTAAGTGGTGGTCATTTTTCCAATGTATTTTGAGAACGCATTGTGAGATTGTTACGTGAGTGTGCTGATGCACCAACACAGTCACTTTTTAATGAGAAGATTGAAGCGTTCCGTAGTCAAGAAGGTTCTAATGTGGACAAGTTCCTATCTAATCTTTCATATGAACACTGGACAAATGCTCATTTTTCAGGGAAGCGTTATGGTGAGATGTGTTCTAATGTTGCCGAATCGTTTAACGCGTGGATTTTGAATGCTCGGCATTTACCTATTACTAGCATGGTTGAAATAATTAGGGGATAAATAATAGATCAAATTGGCCAAAGGATGAAGATATGTTCGGATTGAAATGAGAATTTATATCCNAAATAATTAGGGGATAAATAATGGATCAAATTGGCCAAAGGATGAAGATATGTTCGGATTGAAATGAGAATTTATATCCTAATATGTCTTTGAGATTACAAGTTGCATTTGATGAGGAGAGGTCATGGACTGTGCGGGTTTCGAATAACCAAGTGTATAAAGTGATGACATATCCTTCGGTCACTGTTGATATTGTGAATGACACATGTTCATGTCGTCAGTGGAAAATAAATGGATTCCCTTGTTCACATGCGGTTTTTGCAATACGAAAGAGTGGACGGAATATCAACAAATTTGTTGATTATTACTATCATGTCAACACGTACAAGATGTCATATTTTGAACCGATTTATCCAGTACCAACTGTATATCGTGATGAAAGTTTGGATGTGGATGTTAATATTTTGCCACCATGTACAAAGAAGCAACCTGGTAGACCAAAGAATAGTAGAATTCGGTCTAGGGGAGAAATCATTAGGCGAATTCGTTGTGGCCGGTGTGGGCGTTTGGGCAGTCACAAAAAAAAGTCTTGTAACGAGCCACTGTAGACTGGTTTAGTGCTATCATTTAATGACATTGTTTAATATTTTAAGTTTTTTACAATGTGTTTTTTTCCTCATTGGTTTGGTTTGTTTGTTTTAGATAATTTTTCAAATTGTAAGTTATAGTTTTATATATTATTTTTTTATGGATTAGTCTGTGTGCAACCCACACTGGTCTTGTATAGTGATTTAACACACTGTTTTGGAACATTTTATTGAATACATGTTAAATGTTACCCTTTGAATGTTTCCCTGTTACACTTTCCAAATTACCCTTTGGCATGGTATCCGTTAATCAACAATGAAAAAACACCTCTCTTTTTTTTGTTTTTTGTTTTTTTTTTTTTGAATAGAGAAATTTATTGTTTTATCTATACAAAAAAATATTTACAAGAAGCAAAGTGGATAAGTCATATGTTGGCTTTAATCCTTCAAGACAACAAAACCATTCTATATTTTGTAAATCAAGAAAAACTACAATCTCTCAAAATTCAAGTAAAACCAGCAAGCATGACAGCACCCTACATCTTCCCATATATAACCATTAAAATTGCATACCAGTAGTGCACTCAACACAGCAAAATCTGATCAGTAAAACGCACATCACATCAGCCTACCTCCTTCCAATAACTCATCAGCACATGCAGCAAATCAACAACACAAAATTCAGCACAGCCTGCTATTTGGACAGCATAAGATGCCAAGAAAGCAGCAACAAGAGTCCATATGGCCTTAGTTATCACAAAATAAGCTGAATTGATCCTTAAATCAGCTAACAATTCTTTCCCTTGACAGTCATCTTCCCTCTTAGTGTGGACTCTCCCTGAAGATGCTGGACAAATGTCAATCACCACATACCACAATATCACACAAACAAAGAACATGTACATCCATATATCACCATTGACCACTGTACATTTGTGTAGGTGCAACTGTAAACATGTTACACTTTCAATGTTACCATCTTACACTTTCCATGTTACACTTTCTTGCATGGTACCCGTAAATCAACAATGAATACACACTTGTATCCCTAGACATTCTGGACAAACACCAATCACCACATAACACAATGTCACACAAACAAAGAACATGTACATCCATGTCTCACCATTCACCAATGTGTATTTGTGTACGTGCAAGTTTAAACATGTTACACTTGTAATGTTACCCTGTTACACTTTTTGACAGGGTACCCGTGAATCAACAATTAATCCACACCTGTATACCTAGACATTCTGGACAAACACCAATCACCATATACCACAAAGTCACACAAACAAAGAACATGTAAATCCATGTGTCACCATTCACCAATGTGCATTTGTGTACGTGCAAGTTTAAACATGTTACACTTGTAATGCTATCCTGTTACACTTTACAGGTTACACTTTTTGACATGGTACCCATGAATCAACAATGAATCCAC